TCTTGATGAAGTTACTACCACTGATGTGACTGTTATCGATGATGGGACATTTACTGATGAAGCAGATGAATCCCACATGAAGCAGAAGCCAACGAGACGGAGACCAGTACGGAAGAGGATACGTCCCGTAAAATTAAGAGACTTTGTTGAATTGTAATTTTGTGTTTGTAATTCTGTACAGTCAATTAAGTTATTGTTAATTGTTATTGGTTTATTGTTCGGGACGAACAATATTAAGGAGGGGCAGTGTTGCGTCAGCGAGGTCACGTGACTATTCTCACGCTCTCTACTTTCTAGAACTATCCTGTACCTTGGCGAATGCTCTAGCATTTGCTACATATAGGGTAGGGTGGTATATATATAAGAGGGTGACGCGATAATGTGTGTGTGTGTAGACAGTGAGTAATTGATCTGCGGTCAGAGAGTATTATTGAGCACGTTCGTTGTTATAGCGTTTGTTTTAGCGTGATTGTTGAAATTAAGAGTATCGTGAAGTTGTATTCGGAAAGAATAAACCAGTTTTATTAAGTAAGGACTTGTGTCGCTATAGTTTCGTCGGAACGAAGTTACGGAAAGTTAACTAACAAACGGAGACGTAACATAACGATATGGAATTTGTGGCGTTTGATCGAATAATATGCGAAAAAACTTCCGGGCAGACAAATGTTAATGTACTCTTTATATATAGATATTTACGTTACAATTTTTTTCTCTTTCAACAAAGACAAAATTGAATATATTATTCACAGACACCTAAATTTATTTAGGTTACATTATGGTGAGTTAAATCTTCTATAATAATCACTATTAATAAGAGGCCTAACCGTATTTCTTTGGTTTGTTGACCCAAGCTGTGCGTATGAGCCTTGAATAGGCGAAACTGCAATCCACAGTTGAAGATATGACAATCAAAGAATGCATTAAGCCTCAACTTAACAGATGCTATTTTAAATTCTGGCTTTGGTAAAAGAGAAAAGAAATGTGTAGCATATACATGCATGTTTTGAGCATTTGCACACTCCCACTTAGTTTTAGAGACGTTCAGAACTACTTTAGAATATTTTTTTAATAGAATCGTCCTTTGTATAGCTGACATATCTTATTCACTTAGGGGGAAATCAGTTTCACATGAAAATACCA